TTTATATTTACTGCAAACATGACCTCTTTTAAACGGTCACCTGGTCTTTTCCCCAAGGTGACCGCTTTATAGAGGTTCAACAACATATTTCCTCAGTAAAATCAGTTCCCAGAGAAAATCCCATCCCTATAGTCAATGTAAAGACAATGTCTAAAGAATTAGGATATCAGGAATTGTGCAATTAAATTCAGTACACCAAGTAGCACAATGAATGAATGTACGATAATGCACCACCATGAGAGACTTCCTTGTTCTTTCTTCTTGTCATATAAATATACCAGACACGGTAAGGCAAATATGTAGGCCAGTCCACTGAGAGCTCCAACATACCTATAGCAGAGTACACATATTTAGCAATTAGTAGAAAGGAGAATTTCCCTAAACAATGCATTTAGTAAATCACTTTATGATGAATTTGCTGACAACTACATGTACTTTTCTTTTGTTTAGGAAAATAGGGGCTGGGAATTGTATCAGGAATTACCTTATAATAGTGCCAACATGGGGATAAAAACAGGCACAAGCAACACAGCAAGCGATAATAACAACATTCAAACCAAGAACGTGAAATGGTCTGCAGTATAAAAATCAAATCAAATTACAATAGAAATTATATTAGACAAACAGAAGCCAAAGGAAACTAAACGGGTCAGGTCGCAGCGCCAAAGAACATTGTTGGTAATTGGTTGAACACAGCTTGACTCTAAAGAACGAGGCATAATCAATAGCGCCTATTGTTCTAGCCAGCCAATCACAATGACTTTTATTTAGAGCTGCGAGACCTCGGAACTAAACACCTATATCAACACAAATCCAAAAACAAAACTTTTCTATGTGGATAGTTTAGCAAAAAGTATTATAAGTGGTCAAATATCATTCATGTTCGCACCCAGGATATGACTTCCCAAAGATGTACACCATACACTGCACTCTGACAATATAAACGATGAGAGGAAACACGGTGAGCAGCTGAAAGAACAGACCAATACGAGCACCAAATGCCATGAAATCACTGGATGGCAGATTATCCAGGAAAACCTACAGACATAAAATTCAAAATTAGCGCTAAAGTACAAACGTTAAATGTGTGCAACACTTTCCACTATTTACTACAAAATAGTGTTAAATAAACAATAGAAAACAATAAAATTAGCATAATTTAACAGTATTTAGTGGTATATATGTTGCACAGTTTTAATGTTTGACTCTACTAGAGTGGTCGCACTTAATCCGTGCAACTGTACAAACTAATAGTACTTTTTAGCTGTATTTAGTAAATCGTGCATGCGGTAAGCAAATTGAATTGAATTGAATATACAAATGGAGCATTCAATAGCGTCTTGCTTCAGGTCCACTTTTAGTACAAATTAGTACTACTTAGATTTTGTACAGTTGCACGCTTTAAGTGTGATCACTCTATAGTTAAACCATTATTTTCCTGGCAATGCTTGTATGATCTTACCTGACTTATACATGATTTCTTAATGGGAAAGGCTGCATAAAACACTCCACCAACAAAGATATAGGTAAACACCACCAAAACATAAGCTATACTGACGTCACGTGACTAAAATAAATGATAAGTGAATTACAAGTCTACCCAACAAGTCAATTTTAAGTTATTCAAAAAATGAAGTCACCTACATTATTTTTAGGATTTTTTTGATTATGCAAGATGGACAACACAAAATTGTGAACAAAATAACCCAAGGTCAAGCCTCCAGTCAAAGCAGGAAACTGGGTGTTGAATTCTAGAAAAAAAAGGCTGTACGGTTAGAGAAAGATATATTCTAAATTATACTATTCATATCATGAACATAGGTCATGTACCTGGTATTCGGAAATCACCAGAGAAGYCCATATTGATCCCCCAAATTGATGCTTTTACTCCGACGAATGTGATGATATAGAAAGCAGCAATAGTACCTGGAAAGAAATTTGGGAAGAAAAGTTAATGAGTAAATGAATGGATGAGGAAAAATTAAATAAATAATTCTATGAACAGTAAGTTAGTAAAAAAAGAATACTAATGAGAGTAGAAGTAGATCTATCAGAAAAGTGAGAGAGCAGAGGTGCAGCAGTGGAGAGCACAGTACAGCAGAGCAGAACACTGCAGACCAGAGCGCAGAGGACAGCACAGCAGGGCAGAGGACAGCACAGCAGACAAGAGGGCAGCACAGCAGATAAGAGGACAGCAGACAAGAGGACAGCAGGGCAGAGGACAGCACTGCAGACAAGAGGACAGCAGGGCAGAGGACAGCACAGCAGACAAGAGGACAGCA